TCTCATCGTAGTGGGAGGGGGGAAAGGGAGCCTTGGGCGGCTTTCTGCTGTGGGAAGGCGTTTGCGGCCTGGGAGGAAGGCAGGGTATGGGCCGTGCTAACCTCCCTCAGTCTGCTCTCTTTCGGGTTGTGCTCATTCTCGCGTCGATTGACCCTGCCTCTCGCCTGTGTCTCGGTACCGCCCTCCCTCTTTCTTCCTCTCCCTCCCGTCCCACGCAGGCATCACCCTCCGCTTCTCCCTCACACCCCCCGAGGTCACCCTGTCCCTGATTCAGACCGCCTTGGCGTTAGGCATGGAGCCCATGGTCTTCGTCAGGAATTCGACCGAAGCAGCGGCGGCGGTAGGGGCGGGGGCCCGCGTCGTCTATCTGTATGGGTGTTCCCGCGCACAGGCCGTTGAGATGCGCCAGGATTTGGATCAAGACGGTGTGATGATTGGCTTTGACCTGCGTCGACCCCGCGAATTTCAGTACGGGTTGAACGAGGTAGAAGATGCCTGGATCCTCCGGGACGCGGGTTTTCACAGCGTTTATGTGAGCAATTTGTTGTTCCAAACGCCGTTGGATGATGTGCTGGGGCCTAGCTCGGTCATCAAGGCTTTGCGTGCCAAAGCCTGCGTTTTCCTGGTCGACCCCTTGGACTGGATCGAGAAGTCCGTGATGGAAGGCTCGAAAGAAACCTTGGGGGAGCTCTTGGCGTAGGCCGGAAGGGCCTCTTTCGTATTGGGAGGTTTGTGTGTGAGTCTATGTGCTGGGTAGTGGTGGGTGTCTGGCGGCGATAGTAAAGGCGAACAGGCGTATGGGACGGGTCGAACGAGAAGGGTCTCCTCCCTTCTTACCGCGTGTACATAAGGAACTGCGAATGGGTAGCTGGAGACCTTTGACGCTCAAGTTCTGGTAAAATATAAATGACTGCTTTTATAGTTTTTCCTTCTCAAAAGTGCTACAGACCGGTCAGGTCACAACCAAGCATGGCTTCATTTAAACACTGTCCGTCCTTACATTACTTTCAAAATGCGGTCCAATTTCCTAGTTAAGCACTTTTCGTTCGAATGCTCGAATTTGTGGAAGGCGATGCCCGTGCGCAAAGCGCTT